AGGATTAGATAGTGAATGGAGCTTTGGGCAATGGGGTCGAAGAGTAGGGGGGGGGTTTAAAAAAGTAGTATTAGAGTGTTCAGCGAATTTTGGTTACAGGAAGTAGTGCAGGAGGAAGAAGAGGATTGGTGGAAGGGAATTAAAGAGAGGAAAGGGGAGAAAAATTCATATGAGAATTTTTTAAAAAGTAGAAGTATGCAAGGGGGGAAGAGTATAAGAGAAAAAGAGAGGGGTTAAGAGAGGGGTAAAGCAATGAAAAAAAGGAGCAAATGAGAGAGGGGGTGAATGTTACAAAAATTTTTTGTTGAAAATAAAAAAAAAGTTTGGAGGAGAAAAACAATTTAAATTTAAAGGGAACCCTAGAGAACAAATGGCTTTCATTAAAAAATTGGAAGAGGTTATTAAAGGGAGAGTTAGGGGTAGGGAAGATGGAGGGAATATTTGGAATTGTTAAATGTTGATGAAGATAGGGAAGCTGTGATTTATGATGGGGCAAGGAGGAATAAATTTTGTAGGAGTGAGGAAGAGCCATTTTGGGGTGTGGGGAAGTTGTGGGGCATAGGAAAAATGAAGGGGAAAGGCACGGGGTTTAAAAGGGAAAAAGAAAAAGTTAAAAGAGGTGGGGAATATTTTTGGGAGGGGTTTTTGGCTATTTTTTTTAAAATGTATGGAAAGGGTAAGGACCTAGGGATTGGCAGAGAGCATGCTATTTCCTTTTATAAAGGCAAAGGGGACAAAAAGAGTGCAAAAATTATGGGGATAAGCTGTTGATATCCCTGGTAAAGTTAGGTAAGTTTTTATTGAAAGAATTAAGAGTAAACGGAGAATAGGGAAACAGATGAAACAAGGAGGCTTTGGGAAAAGGGGGGGGTGTGGGACCAGGTGTTTTAAATGAAACATATAAGGAACAGTATTTAGATAAGGGGAAAAGGGTTTTTTTGGGTTTAGGATTTTGGGAAAAACATAGACAGGGTGGATAGGGGGGGGCAAAGTGGCAGATTTGCAGGTGTATGGTATAGGAGGGAGGTTACTGAAAAATGAAAAGTTTTTTCGGGATATGAGGTCAAATTAGGTATGTAGGAAAGAGGGGGTTATTTTCCCCGTAAAATGGCATTAGACAAAGGGTGTGATGTCAGTGGGTTTTTTAATAAAATTTTTGGTGGGGTTGTATAGAATAAATGCAGGGTTTGGAAGAGCCGTGGAGTTAAAAGATAAAGAACAGACATAAAGGGGGGAGTTGTCACGTTGCTCTTTGCTGATGACACTGTCTCTTGGGAGTTGCAGAGAAGTTGCAGGGTTGGGGGAAAATTTTTGGGTGGGGTTGTAAAGTGAAAATTAAAAGTAATCGGGAAAGATAAGGTTATGAGGATAAAAAAAAGTTTAGGGATAAGTTTGGATATAAGTAGGGGGAGAGGCATGGGGAGGTGAATGTATCAATATTTGGGTTTGGGAGTGTAGGGATGGGTCTATGAAAAATGGGGTAATCAAAATTTTGATGAGGGGGAAAAGGGTGAGGGGTGCACTTAGGATTTGGGGGGAAAAGAAAACTTTGCCCTTTGGAGGCAAAGGGGGGAATTTTTGAATATATTTTTCCCAACTCTTATATTTGTGAAGCAGGGGGATAAATTTTGCAGCGAGGAGAAGTAAAAGGGGGAATTCACTAAAATTTTTTTTTTTTTTTTTCGTTCGATTTCTTTCATTTTTTTTGTACTAAAGAAGCCCTTTAAATAGTAATGTCCCAATTTTTCAAAAAGTAGCTCAAAAAAAACAACGAGAAAAAAAATTTTTTTCTAATAACATACAAAAATCTACATTTGCAGGTACCGTCAAAGTGGGACTGGGAAAAACTTTTTTTGGATTATTACCATAAAAAATGCTAAACGTTTCTGTGGATTCCCGTTCGTAATTTACCCTTTTCTTCTTCTTAAAAAAAAAAATTTTTTGTTTTTTTTTTGTTTTCAGAAAATATCTGACTTTTCCCCCTCACATAAAACAAAAACAAATTATGATATCTCAAAAAAACGATCCATAGTTGTAAAAAACTTTTCCTTTTTGTTCTCTGGAAATTTTTTACATTTCCTGCTATTATTAACTTTGTTACTTGCTCAATATGTGAATAACTTACTTCGAGATAACCACGAAACACCCGGGGCCACCTTTTTTTTTTTTTCCGAGAAAAAAACATTTTTAGTTTATACGCATTACGAGTGTATTCATAGTTAACCCGTTGTTTTCTTAATAAAGGACCTGGAGGTGAGAGAAAAAAGAATGTAAGCCCCTTCTGAGAATGGGAATCTATTATTCCCGATGGACGCTCTGGGGGTATTTCCCTATATTTTTAGGAGTATTTACATATTCTTTTTATTTATATTGTTTATTTTCATATTAGTCAATTTTGGTGATAAAAAAGCCCTAGAAGCTATAATAGCGTTATATTGAGCCATATCCCCCGGGACCCCGAACTGGAATTTTCCATGACGTCAGCAAGACTCAGAAAAATGTTTGTCGGAGGTTCCTGGTTGGTTGGAACTCTACGTATAAGTCCCACCACTGTATTATGATACCAAATCGTCAATTATTATCTTAGAAAGAATAAATACAGTAAATACACGAAAAAAAAAACGGAAAAAAAAAAAAAATAAATTGACGACAGGTGAGCACACCTGTCGCGGGTGGTGACGTAACCCTAGGTGTATTTAAATGACCATAATTCCTTGTAGGAATGTCGTAGAACAATGATTCTGGTACCATTGTGTTGCCAGAGAGTTAAGCTATTTTTCTATAAGATTAACTCAGTTTGTGAATTTTTTTCGGAAAAAAATTTTCGTTCGTGTTTTCCCGGAATTCCCCCTGAAGGCAGTGATGTCATATCTGAGGGCAATGTGTGGTGTGAATATAATGCAGAGAATTCGTAGTTTGGAAGTTAGGAGAAGGTGCGGGATTACCAAAAACTGTTGTCCAGAGGGCTGAGGAAGGGTTGTTGAGGTGGTTCGGACATGTAGAGAGAATGGAGGGAAACAGAATGACTTCAAGAGTGTATCAGTCTGTAGTGGAAGGAAGGCGGGGTAGGGGTAGGCCTAGGAAAGGTTGGAGGGGGTAAAGGAGGTTTTGTTTGCGAGGGGTTTGGACTTCCAGCGGGCATGCATGAGCGTGTTTGATAGGAGTGAATGGAGACAAATGGTTTTTAATACTCGACGTGCTGTTGGAGTGTGAGCAAAGTAACATTTATGAAGGGATTCAGGGAAACCGGCAGGCCAGTTTAAAAACTGTAGTGTAAAGCATCCTTCTGGCAAGACAGTGATGGAGTGAATGATGGTGAAAGTTTTTTCTTTTTCGGGCCACCCTGCCTTGGTGGAATCGGCCAGTGTGTTAATAATAATAATATATATATCCAAAGAAATTGTTATGCACGATTATTTTTTTCCGAAAACTCCGCCATTTGATTCCATCCATAGAATTCAGTCTAAAAACAAAAAAAGGTATTCTTTCCCGGACACTCATCTC